ATACTTGTACATTTACTCAAGTATCACTTTTTGGTACTTTATACAACACTGTACCGTAGGACCTTAGCTGTTCTCACTTTATTTAAAKGACCTCTTTTCTGTTTGTGCTGATGTATCCATTCAAATGTATGCTGATGATACCGTAGTTTATGTTCATGGAAGTGGTGGTTGAGAAGCTCCCTAACTCAATAGTTAATATTACACCTTGGTTGAAACACTCCTGCCTGCAGTTAAACACTTCTAAGACAGTGGCAATGTTTTTCACAAAGTCCAACACTAACTCCAGCGTTGAGCCAGATATTTTTGTATCATGAGAGAGGATGCATGTTGTATCTGAATACAAATATCTAGGGATGGTAAMTGATTCAAATTTGACACATAAAACACATTTCAAAAGGGTCTGTAATCACATCAAATTTTACCTTAACTTAACTTAACCTTTTACCGTAACTTCAGACGTATTCATCATCAGATGTCAACACAGGCAGCTAAAAGGTATACTATGATTCATGCAYACTATGATTTTGTTCCATATCATTTAGAGTGTACCCATTTGGTCTCAAGCTAATATTAGAACTCTAAAACAGCTGCAACCACTCTATAAACACACTGTAAACACTCTGGATAAGAGAACAAATATGTATCATCATTGTCCAATATTACAAAAACATAATTTACTCAGTTGAGAAAATATGGTTAAATATTCAAACCTATGTCTTATCTATAAAATTACTCATGGTGTATCATCCCCCCATTTCAACAGTTTGTTAAAATCTGAACATCTAATCACAGAGCCAGAGGTGCAGTATGAGGAGATTGTGTTATTCCTCTTAGCAAAAGTGCTTTTGGCAAAAATGCATTTTCTGCTTGAGTTGCCACCAAATGGAATCTCCCTCCTGTGATGATTAGAAATTCAAACTATAACACATAAGAAAAGGCTTAATAATAATCAGAGCTGTCAAYATTAGCTTACAGGAGCYGCTGGAAGTCATGCAGCAGTAAGACCGCTTACCTGAAACTCAAAGGTCTCATCAAAGAGTGGGTCATCCTGGTTCTGAGCTGCTGTGTGTGTTCTCTGTTCTGCACAGTCAGCTGGGACGCCGTGCAGCTCCAGAACCACATACGGATCGATGACTTCTCCCTTGGCACCTGAACCTTGAGGCTTGGGTAGGTTGTGGGCACTGATCACCTGCACATTAGAAAACGTTAACTCATGTCATGTTCAACACWAAACTTTTCAATAACACTTCTCACACTACATTTAACTCGCTGCAGTCATTSCTTTTGGTATTTTTGTTTCTTAATTTTAAATAATTTATCTACCTATCTTTGAAAGTTTAGATTCTGTGTGGTCTTCAGACTTGTTTTCTTGTYAAGCCAAATCAGATGGATGTGGGACAAAGTGCTGCTTTATGTCTTTGATACAAAATAAAGCTGATCAGTAGGTGTGGAAGTGTTTGAGTTCTTGTTGCTATTATTGAAACCAAAATTTGACAAGTACTTTTTCCAAAAACTGGAAACTAATACAATTACTTCACATTCACTTCTAAAGAAAATTTAAAAAATGCTTTATATTTACTCAATTCAGTTGAGTAGAACCTGTTGACATAATTTATTTAAGTAAATACAACGCAAACATTTTGATGTTTTGAGTGTTCAATGGAATTGGGGTTGTAGCTCCACAACAAATTGTCTAATGCAATTTAAACTTGGAACACTCTCCAGTTTTGAACTGAGAAAACTCACCAGATGGGAAGTGAAACATCTTCAATTACAGAAACTACACAATAGAAGTTCTGTTGACCATACTGATGAAAACATGCTTTTTAAAGAGTAAATTTCAGRAAAAAAAATAAAGCAGCATCTGAACCTTAATGCGCAGAGTTTGAGGTGGAACTCCTGGTACACAACCATGAGTGTGGGCACTGAAATATGACACCTCATCCCTCATCACAGCAGGGCGGAGTACGTAACCACAGCCACCATTCTGTGTGAAGCGGCCTCGATGGAGGTCCAGCATGGCGCCTGGAGTCTGTTGGTTTAAGGCCACAAGCTGGACCCCTCCTTTCCAGTACCCTTGGGGGTTGGGGTTGCTGGAGTCCAGACGTACTGAGCTGGGTCTTACCCGGGTTAGGGTGCGCTTAGTGAACATAACAAGGTCCTCTGGGCTCTCACTGGTCAACCGCCCAGCCTCTCCTTCACCCAAGGAGCACATTGTCCAGTAAGGCAGCTCTGGAAGAACTGGTGAGCCTGGTGAGGAGGGGCTGCTGGGGGGTGACTGCTGCTGAGACTGTTTGTAGCTGCTTCTCTGAGCATAGAAGCTACGGCTTCCAGTCCGAGCAATGGCCACAAGGTCTGACAGCTCTTTGTGGAGACGGAGCTTCCTGGGCTGAGAAGGAGGAGGCACCACTAAGACTAAACCCAGTTCCTCTTCACCAGGWATGGTCATTCTCCTTCCAGCTAAGGGTCCCCCTCCGCCTATTTCCTCATCCTCTTCAGACACCTCCCCATCAGAACCTTCCTGCTCTGGGGAAAGCTTCTTACCCACTATGAGGATACGTCCCTTCAACTGTTCAGGAGAGGGTAAGGTTGTGGCCCGCCCTCCCAGGCTAACTGGCAATGCTTCTGGTGTATAAAGGCGAGATCCAAACACCTTTTTTAGGTGATGTGCCATTGTGCACTGTTGAGCCGGAGAGCAGCGCTGACACAAGTATATCAGGAGAGGGTACCGAGACGTCAGAAAGGCATATTTGTTGATCACCTCCAACGCAGAACGGATAGTAACAGGTGCATGATGATGATGGTGATGATGATGGTGAGAAATGTCCGGCTCGTAGTCAACCCCAAGCAAAGGCTCCCCCTCAGGGCCATCAGTTACTCCTAGCTCCAGGCATCGACAGCCAGACTGTAAGGCTTTGATAAGCCCTCCAAGGTCTGCTCTGCCGTGGACCTGGTCATCCAGGAGGTAGGARCGGTATGATGTGCTGCAGAGAGAGGAAAAAAAAGTCACATATTAGGGCAAATCATTTCCACTTTTAGGATTAATAATAATTTCAACTGCTATTGTGCGTTTCCACAATGTATTTGTACACTCTACTATAAATTGTATACTGTTTCATATTTCATGTACAGGGGTTAGACAGTGAAACTGAAACACCTGTCATTTTAGTGAAGAAATTTTGTAACTGATGAATTGAGTATTAGATTCAGTTTTGTATTTTATACTTTCTGATCATTTCAGTCTGTAAGGT